ATTTATCCAATGGGGCTGAATTTTGGATATGTTATATTACACACCCATTGGAACAACTTTCATGAAGAATGTGGCCTCATCCGAGCTATGTAGGTTGCTGAAACAAAGCTTGCAATATGACCTACGAAACTGGGCTGGCAGGGGACTGTAGCCAAAATTGAGTTTGTCTTTAAGCTCTTCATCCATTCATCCAAATTAGGCCCTAACATGCATGGATTGCATCATTTACTATCCAAAGCCATCATTATTACCTAAAGCTCAATGAACTGAAAGATAAACACAAAAAGGATTAAAAGCACAAGTTTAACTCAAAAACATAACCAAATCATAAGCTAGAAGGGTACAAAATGATATACAATTATGAACCGATCAGATATCACATGGGAATTCTACTTTATTTCAATCAGCACAAAAAGTAAAGACTAAAGTTCGAGCAAATGGAGAGAGAGTGGCTAATTAAGCTAGCTCTCTATCTCTAATAAACAAGATAGTCGTAAAAGATTTCTTTCATTTCTCTGTTTGCTTTTTATCTGTATGCATGGCTTCCATTCCACTGATAGAAAATATTCTCTCAATCTGTTGGTTAGTAGCATGGAAGAAACTTCGTTGCATGCAATCATGGCAAATATACCATCTCTTGATGATCAGGAGATAGAGGTACCAATTTACTTACGATTTAAAGTAAATTATTTCCAAAACATACATACATAGTACTGGCCAGCCTCTTAAGAGCAAAATTTTAATCAATTCTAAGCTTACGTACGGAAGGTAGTGTGGAGACGTAGAGAATAAATAAAACAATCAAAAGGAACTCGAACATACAAACACTCGAAGTTTATTTGGGGCTTGTGAGGCGATATTTTTCGATGATGCACAACTGGGGAGAAGTCCTCAATTTAAAGCCTCGGGGCTGTTGACGTGTCAATCAGGGATAGGAAGTCACAAAGCAACCTACAGTATAGCGGCATCTTCACTTTAATGATTCTGGCTGATCTTTCACGCAAACGGCCAAAAGAAAAAAGCAAACTTTTACGAAAGTAAAGTGAAAGCAAAGTTAAAGCAGAAGCATTATGCTTTAACTAGAGGAAAAGTAAAGTTAAAGCAAAATTGTAAAATGCTTTAACGCAAAATTACAATAAGTACAAATTGTCTTCTTATCAAACAGAATATTATTGAGATCCACCATGCATAAAGATCTGGATGACAGTTGTCTAGCATATCTTCGTTTGCAAAAGGATCGACCTCATCTTCATGCTGAGTGGCAGAGGCTGATGCCATGGATTCGTCATCGAGATCAAGGATCTCGAGAACTTTCCTTTTCAAGTCTTCTTTTGATGAAGTTGAGCTTGGGTGGTCTATCAACAATTGTAACCTTTGAGAGACACTCAAACTAGCAGAAGAAGTGGCCAAAGGTTAAGCAGCAACAGGGTCAAAAGATGGGATGAGCGTCGGGGTAATCTTGGCGGGGGCCAAGTGATCTTTAGTGAATTTATCCCACCATTTGATCAGGATACTACAGACTAAATTAGGGATATAAATCCATTCATCATCAGGTAATTCGCAGCCATTCATAACTAATGATAATGTATGAACTACCCTAGATACTAAAATGGGAGTATGTTATTTCGGAAGACGTTGATGATGAATGGACGTATATCCCTAATTTAGTCTGTAGTATCCTGATCCAATGGTGGGATAAATTTACTAAAGATCAATTGGCTCCCGCCAAGATCACCCCGACGCTATCCCATCTTTTGACCCTATTGCTGCTCAACCTTTGGCCACTTCTTCTGCTAGTTTGAGTGTCTCTCAAAGGTTACAATCGTTGATAGACCAGCCAGACTCAACTTCATCAAAAGAAGACTTGAAAAAGAAAGTTCTCAAGATCCTTGATTTCGATGACGAATCCATGGCATCAGCATCTGCCACCCAGCATGAAGATGAGGTCGATCCTTTTGCAAACAAAGATATGCTAGACAACTATCATTCAGATCTTTATGGTGGGCCTCAGTAATATTCTGTCTGATAAGAAGACAATTTGTAGTCCTTGTAATTTTGCGTTAAAGCATTTTACTTTTGCTTTAACTTTACTTTTCCTCTGGTTAAAGCAAGATGCTTCTGCTTTAGCTTTGCTTTCACTTTACTTTTGTAAAAGTTTGCTTTTTTCTTTTGGCCATTTGCATGAAAGATTAGCCAGAATCATTAAAGTGAAGATGCCGTTGTACTGTAGGTTGCTTTGTGACTTCCTGTCCCTGATTGACACATCAACAGCCCCGAGGCTTTAAATGGAGGACTTCCCCTCAGTTGCGGATCATCGAAAAATATCGCCTTACAAGCCAAAAATAAACTTCGTATTTTGAGTGTTTTAAGTTTGAGTGTTTATTTCCCAAGTGCTGCTTATGCAAAGCTTCTATTAAGCACTACTGCCTTTCTGCATCTATGTAAGTTTGCAAGAATTTAATGATATCGTTTCTAATTTCGTTATACTCTTTTCCTTGGTTTTGGCTTTGTATGTTTGAGTTCCTTTTGATTGTTTTATTTATTCTCTACATCTCCACACTACCTTCCGCACGTAAGCTTAAAATTGATTAAAATTTTGCTCTTAAGAGGCTAGGCCAGTAGCTAGTATCAGAGCCGAAAGTCCCTGAGAGAGTTGTTAGATTGAAGGTTCTAACTAAGTCTTGCAGGTCTTTGATATAACAGTTTTGAGTCTTGGGCTAAATCCTTATAAAAATCCTTTATGTAATTGAGACTTCCTAAGAACCTTTGTAATTGTTGCTTGTCCTTAATTTCATCAGGGAACTTATCAGCAAAGGATATTGCTTGATCAATCGGAACTATCAGTCCCTTATTAATATTGTGTCCCAAAAAACGAACTTTGGAAGAAAATAATTTCATTTTCTTTGCCGACACCGCTAATCTTGCATGCTTCACAACTTTCAAGAAAATATTGAGATGTTTAAAATGCTATTCTAAAGAATTAGAATAAACCAAAACATCATCAATATAAACAATGGTGAAAACAGTGCAAGGATTAAATATGTCATTCATAATATTTTGAAATTCAGAAGGGGCATTTTTCAATCCAAAGGGTAGAACATTCCATTCATAATGTCCAAAGGGGACATTAAAGGCTGTTTTGTATCTATCCTTTTCGGTGATCTGGATTTGCCAATATCCTGATTTCATATCAAATTTAGAGATAATGACCGCCTTATTTAACCTATCCAAGAGATCCTTTTTATTAGGAATCGGGTATCTAACCCATTTTAAGGCTTTATTAAGAGGTTTATAGTTTATCACCCATCTGGGCACTCCTCTTTCCAATTCAGCCGCGTTTTCAACATAAAAGGCGGAGCAACTTTGTGGAGATAAGCTTTTCTTGATTAACTTCTTATTTAATAAATCTTGAATTTCAAATTTACAAATTTCCATTAACCTAGCATTCATTTGAATTGCCCTGGCTTTGATTGGGATTTTCTTTTCATCAAAATCAGGCTTACATGGCAATTCAATTATGTGCTTCTTTCTATTCCAAAAACCGTTGGGCAT